TCAGTGAAGACACTCCCCCTCAGTGAAGACACGCCCCTCAGTGAAGACACTCCCCCTCAGTGAAGACACGCCCCCTCAGTGAAGACACTCCCCCTCAGTGAAGCACTCCCCCTCAGTGAAGACACTCCCCCTCAGTGAAGACACTCCCCCTCAGTGAAGACACTCCCCGCATCAGTGACAGACACGCTTCCCCCCCTCAGTGAGGACACTCCCCCTCAGTGAAGACCACATCCCCCTCAGTGAAGACACTCCCACCTCAGTGAAGACACTCCCCCTCACGCGCCGCCTCAGTGAAGACACCTTCCCCTCAGTGAAGACACTCCCCCTCAGTGAGACACTCCCCCTCAGTGAAGACACTCCCCTCAGTGAAACACTCCCCCTCAGTGAAGACACTCCCCTCAGTGAAGACACGCCCCCCTCAGTGAAGACACTCCCCTCAGTGAAGACACTCCCCCTCAGTGAAGACACTCCCCCCAGTGAAGACACGCCCCCTCAGTGAAGACCCCCCCCTCAGTGAAGCACTCCCCTCAGTGAAGACACGCCCCCTCAGTGAACACGCCCCCTCAGTGAAGACACTCCCCCACAGTGAGACACTCCCCTCAGTGAAGACACGCCCCCTCAGTGAAGACACGCCCCCTCAGTGAAGACACTCCCCCTCAGTGAACACGCCCCCTCAGTGAAGACACGCCCCCTCAGTGAAGACACTCCCCCTCAGTGAAGACACTCCCCCAGTGAAGACCCCCCTCAGTGAAGACACTCCCCCTCAGTGAAGACACGCCCCTCAGTGAAGACACTCCCCCTCAGTGAAGACACTCCCCCTCAGTGAAGACACTCCCCCTCAGTGAAGACACTCCCCCTCAGTGAAGACACTCCCCCTCAGTGAGACACTCCCCCTCAGTGAAGACACTCCCCCTCAGTGAGACACGCCCCCTCAGTGAAGGACACTCCCCCTCAGTGAAGACACCCCCCTCAGTGAAGACACTCCCCCTCAGTGAAGACACGCCCCCTCAGTGAGACACTCCCCCTCAGTGAAGACACTCCCCCTCAGTGAAGACACCCCCCTCAGTGAAGACACTCCCCTCAGTGAGACACGCCCCCTCAGTGAAGACACTCCCCCTCAGTGAAGACACTCCCCCTCAGTGAAGACACTCCCCCTCAGTGAAGACACTCCCCCTCAGTGAAGATCCCCCTCAGTGAAGACACTCCCCCTCAGTGAAGACATCCCCCTCAGTGAAGACACGCCCCTCAGTGAGGACACTCCCCCTCAGTGAAGACACGCCCCCTCAGTGAAGACACGCCCCCTCAGTGAAGACACTCCCCCTCAGTGAAGACACTCCCCTCAGTGAAGACACTCCCCCTCAGTGAAGACACGCCCCCTCAGTGAAGACACGCCCCCTCAGTGAAGACACTCCCTCAGTGAAGACACGCCCCCTCAGTGAAGACACTCCCCCCTCAGTGAAGACACTCCCCCTCAGTGAAGACACGCCCCCTCAGTGAAGACACGCCCCCTCAGTGAAGACACTCCCCCTCAGTGACGACACGCCCCTCAGTGAAGACACGCCCCCTCAGTGAAGACACGCCCCCCTCAGTGAAGACACGCCCCCTCAGTGAGACACGCACCCCCTCAGTGAAGACACGCCCTCAGTGAAGACACTCCCCCTCAGTGAAGACACTCCCCTCAGTGAAGACACGCCCCCTCAGTGAAGACACCCCCTCAGTGAAGACACGCCCCCTCAGTGAAGACACTCCCCCTCAGTGAAGACACCCCCCTCAGTGAAGACACATCCCCCTCAGTGAAGACATATCCCCCTCAGTGAGGACACTCCCCCTCAGTGAAGACACACCTCCCCCTCAGTGAAGACACTCCCCCTCAGTGAAGACACTCCCCCTCAGTGAAGACACCCCCTCAGTGAAGACACTCCCCCTCAGTGAAGACACTCCCCCTCAGTGAAGACACATCCCCCTCAGTGAAGACACTCCCCCTCAGTGAAGACACTCCCCCTCAGTGAGGACACTCCCCCTCAGTGAAGACACTCCCCCTCAGTGAAGACACGCCCCCTCAGTGAAGACACTCCCCTCAGTGAAGACACTCCCCCCTCAGTGAAGACACTCCCCCTCAGTGAAGACACATCCCCCTCAGTGAAGACACTCCCCCTCAGTGAAGACACATCCCCCTCAGTGAAGACACTCCCCCTCAGTGAAGACACATCCCCCTCAGTGAAGACACCCCCTCAGTGAAGACACTCCCCCTCAGTGAGACACTCCCCCTCAGTGAAGACACTCCCCCTCAGTGAAGACACGCCCCCTCAGTGAAGACACTCCCCCTCAGTGAAGGACACTCCCCCCTCAGTGAAGACACTCCCCCTCAGTGAAGACACTCCCCCTCAGTGAAGACACTCCCCCCTCAGTGAAGACACTCCCCCTCAGTGAAGACACTCCCCCTCAGTGAAGACACTCCCCCTCAGTGAAGACACTCCCCCTCAGTGAAGACACTCCCCCTCAGTGAAGACACTCCCCCTCAGTGAAACTCCCCCCCAAAACATCCCCCCTCAGTGAAGACACATCCCCCTCAGTGAAGACACTCCCCTCAGTGAAGACACATCCCCCCTCAGTGAAGACACATCCCCCTCAGTGAAGGCCCTCCCCCTCAGTGAAGACACTCCCCCCTCAGTGAAGACACTCCCCCTCAGTGAAGACACTCCCCCTCAGTGAAGACACTCCCCCCTCAGTGAAGACACTCCCCCTCAGTGAAGACACTCCCCCCTCAGTGAAGACACTCCCCCTCAGTGAAGACACTCCCCCCTCAGTGAAGACACTCCCCCCTCAGTGAAGACACTCCCCCCTCAGTGAAGACACTCCCCCTCAGTGAAGACACTCCCCCTCAGTGAAGACACTCCCCCTCAGTGAAGACATCCCCTCAGTGAAGACACCCCCTCAGTGAAGACACTCCCCCTCAGTGAAGACACCCCTCAGTGAAGACACTCCCCCTCAGTGAAGACACTCCCCCCTCAGTGAAGACACCCCCCTCAGTGAGACACCCCCTCAGTGAAGACACGCCCCCTCAGTGAAGACACTCCCCCTCAGTGAAGACACGCCCCCTCAGTGAAGACACTCCCCCTCAGTGAAGACACTCCCCCTCAGTGAAGACACCCCCCTCAGTGAGACACTCCCCCTCAGTGAAGACACACCCCTCAGTGAAGACACGCCCCCTCAGTGAAGACACTCCCCCTCAGTGAAGACACCCCCTCAGTGAAGACACCTCCCTCAGTGAAGACACCCCCTCAGTGAAGACACTCCCCCTCAGTGAAGACACCCCCCCTCAGTGAAGACACTCCCCCTCAGTGAAGACACTCCCCCTCAGTGAAGACACTCCCCTCAGTGAAGACACCCCCTCAGTGAAGACACGCCCCTCAGTGAAGACACTCCCCCTCAGTGAAGACACTCCCCTCAGTGAAGACACCCCTCAGTGAAGACACTCCCCCTCAGTGAGACACTCCCCCTCAGTGAAGACACTCCCCCTCAGTGAAGACACTCCCCCTCAGTGAAGACACTCCCCCTCAGTGAGACACTCCCCCTCAGTGAAGACACTCCCCTCAGTGAAGACACTCCCCCTCAGTGAGACACTCCCCTCAGTGAAGACACTCCCCTCAGTGAAGACATTCCCCCTCAGTGAAGACACTCCCCCTCAGTGAGGACACTCCCCCTCAGTGAAGACACTCCCCCTCAGTGAAGACACCCCCTCAGTGAAGACACTCCCCCTCAGTGAAGACATCCCCCTCAGTGAAGACACTCCCCTCAGTGAGACACTCCCCCTCAGTGAAGACACTCCCCCTCAGTGAAGACACTCCCCCTCAGTGGGACACTCCCCCTCAGTGAAGACACTCCCCCTCAGTGCAGTGACGACACTCCCCTCAGTGACGACACTCCCCCTCAGTGAAGACACGCCCCCTCAGTGAAGACACTCCCCCTCAGTGAGGACACTCCCCCTCAGTGAAGACACTCCCCCCTCAGTGACGACACTCCCCTCAGTGACGACACTCCCCCTCAGTGACGACACTCCCCTCAGTGAAGACACTCCCCCCTCAGTGAAGACACTCCCCCTCAGTGACGACACTCCCCCCTCAGTGAAGACACGCCCCTCAGTGACGACACTCCCCTCAGTGAAGACACTCCCCCTCAGTGAAGACATTCCCCCTCAGTGAAGACACTCCCCCTCAGTGACGACACTCCCCTCAGTGAAGACACTCCCCCTCAGTGAAGACACTCCCCCTCCAGTGACGACACTCCCCCCTCAGTGAAGACACTCCCCTCAGTGAAGGACACTTCCCCCTCAGTGAAGACACTCCCCCTCAGTGACGACACTCCCCTCAGTGACGACACTCCCCTCAGTGAAGACACTCCCCCTCAGTGAAGACACGCCCCCTCAGTGAAGACACGCCCCCCTCAGTGAAGACGCCCCCTCAGTGAAGACACTCCCCCTCAGTGAAGACACGCCCCCTCAGTGAAGACACTCCCCCTCAGTGACGACACTCCCCTCAGTGACGACACTCCCCTCAGTGACGACACGCCCCCCTCAGTGACGACACGCCCCCCTCAGTGACGACACGCCCCTTCAGTGAAGACACGCCCCCTCAGCGTGTAAATCTGGCTCTGATACGAGCCAGTGCCTCCCCAGCCATTGACGTCACCGCACGTCACTGCTAAATATCACCACTAATGGAGATAAAGGTGGTTGGGCGTGGTGCTGCTGGCCACCCACCCCCTCGTGTGCCACAGTCCCGGCCTTCATAGGCGCTGCTACTTCTCGCAACTAACAGCCACTTGCCCCTGGCAGTCTGTTACAGGCTACACGGGGGATCTTTGTCTTTCTTGTTTGTGCGCGCGCGTGTTGACTGTGACGTCACACGTGGGAGGTCTGGACCAAGTGGGAAATGGAGGAGCACGTGACCCGAGTAACGTTTAAAAGGGGAGACGGGGGAGAGGATTCCAGTGACTCGGTGACCAACGCTGAGCACCGACAACCTCCGATTAGCAGGACGCTCAGCTGCTACGTACGGTGGAGCGAAAGAAAATTCAACTTACCGTACGTATGAAGACTCACACAGAGACCCATAGACTCATCACACCAGACCCATAGACTCATCATACAGAGACCCATATACTCACACAGAGACCCATAGACTCACACAGAGACCAATAGACTCACGCAGAGATCCATAGCCTCACACAGAAACCCGAAGATTCCTCAAATACAGACCGATATATTACTCACAGATACCCATAGACTCACTCAGAGGCCATGGACTCCTCAAAAAGTGACAAATAGACTCACAAAAAGACCCATAGACTTACATAGAGATGAGAACACTCACACAGACCTATCGACTCACACAGAGATTCATAGCCTCACACAGAGACCCACAGACTCACACATAGACCCACAGACTCACTCAGGGACCCGTAGACTCACACAGACTCATAGACGCACACAGAGATCGATAGCCTCAAAACCCATGGACTCAAACGGAGACCCATATACTCATCACACATAGACTCACAGACTCACACATAGACCCACAGACTCACACAGAGACCTGTATACTCACTCAGCCCATAATCACCTCACACAGAGACCCATCGACTCAAACAGAGACCCACAGACTCATAGACTCACAAAGAGACCCGTGAACTCACATAGAGATTAGTAGACTCACACATGGACCCACAGCCTCGCACAGAGACGAGGAGACTTACACATAGACCCACATTTGTGACGGGCAGGGCGCTTGTGAAAAAAGAGCTACTATATAGCAGCTCATTCATACCTTACTTGGTAAAATAAAATAATAGTTCGTGTTTAAATCCATCCTGTACACCAGGCGAGCTAGTTAACATCTCGCCACTGCTGTCCCCAGATGTCCATCTCGGCCCTGCCGCTGATGCTGCTGCTGGGGGTGGTGGTGGTGGGAGCCCAGCAGGAGAAGACCGTCTGCGCGGGCATCAACGGGATCCCCGGTCAGCCCGGAGCCCCGGGGCAGCACGGGACCCCTGGGGCCCCCGGGAGGGACGGCAGAGACGGTGAGGGGTCAGGTCCCAGAGTCCCCCCCACGGTGATGCGACGCGTTCACTCGATCACTCACTCAATCGTTCACTCGCTCAATCATTCACTCAATCGTTCACTCGCCATGTCATGCACTCGATCGTTTACTCGCTCATTCTCGTAGGAGAGTGTCTCGAGTGGAGTAGAGTCAGATGAGAGGGAAGAGGCAGGAGAGTGCGTGGAGGGGAGTGGATTGAGATGAGAGTGGAGAGTGCGTCGAGGGGAGTAGAGTTAGATGAGAGTGGAGAGGTAGGAGGGTGCGTGGAGGAGAGTGGAGTGAGATGAGAGGGGAGAGGCAGGAGAGTGCGTGGAGGTGGAGTAGAGTGAGATGAGAGAGGAGAGGCAGGAGAGTGCGTGGAGGAGAGTGGAGTGAGATGAGAGGGGAGAGGCAGGAGAGTGTGTGGAGTGGAGTGATATGAGAGTGGAGAGACAGGAGACTGCGTGGAGGGGAGTGGAGTGAGTTGGGAGTGGAGAGGCAGGAGAGTGAGTGGAGGTGAGTGGTGTGAGATGGGAGGGGAGAGGCAGGAGAGTGCGTGGAGGGGAGTAGAGTGAGATGAGAGGAGAGTGCATGGAGGGGAGTGGAGTGAGATCAGAGGGGAGAGGCAGGAGAGCGAGTGGAGGGGAGTATAGTGAGATGAGAGGGGAGAGGCAGGAGAGTGAGTGGAGGGGAGTAGAGTTATATGAGAGGGGAGAGACAGGACAGTGCGTGGAGGTGAGTGGTGTGAATTGAGAGTGGCTTGAGGAGCGGATGAGCCATGCTTTGTTCTTCTCGCAGGCGTTACCGGAGCACCCGGAGCCAAGGGAGACCTCGGGGCTCGAGGCTTGACTGGGGACCCAGGTGGGACTGTGACACTGACTCGTGTGCTCCTAGCAGCTGATTCTACGTATTTATTTTATTACCAAGTAATCCTCACTGAGCTATGCGTAGTGGCGTAACGAGCGCAGGGTTTGCAAACAGCAGTTGCATTCATGTACGGGGTTGCAAACAGTGAGGTCAGCTCAGGACGAGCAGGTGCAGGAGGGTGGCCTGGGTGACAGCAGACAGAGAGACGCCAGCAATTAGGGAACGAGGCAGTGATTGGCTGGCTGCAAATGCCAACGCGGGGTCGGTGCCAAGGAGGCGAGAGATAGTGGCGATGAGGGGGAGAACACGTGCGAGAGAAGCCATCTTAATGAGGATCATCTGAGGGCACTTAATGAGAAGGGGGATATAAGGGGAACGTGTGAAGCAATGGGGTTGAGTTGGTTGGAGATGAAGTAGTGAACATATTCCAGAGAAGTCCGGGACCTTGCCCTCCACACCTCGTCCTCCCCAGAGGTGATGGCTGATCCCCCGCTGGGGGTACGGGCGAGACACGCTAGCAGTGGAGAGGCTAGCGAAAAATCTTTAGTTTGAGTGTGATAGGCTAGAGGGGTGAGAAGCTAGCAGAGTGTACAGATAGAGAGTCCGTGACAGGCTAGGAGAACGGGGAGTAACAGGCTAGCAGAGCAAGAGAGAGTAAGCTCGAATTAGCAGGCTAGCGGAGGAAGAAAGAAAGAGTTCGCTACAGGAGTACCTGGTGTTGAACGTGAGGAGCATCCGTGTGGGATGCTTCGAATAAAGTAACTCAGGAGAAAAAGACGAAGTTTTCCGCGTGAATAAACACCACGCGACATATGGAGCTCTTGTTCAGAAGCGACCTGGCAGATGTAATGATAGCTCGACAAAGTGGACTTATCATCACGTGGACATTTATTCAGCCAAATACATGTCTACATGTGGAGGGAATGAAATCGGAGGACCTGGTTAAAAATCCACACAACCGCGGGGAGAGACGCATGCAAACTCCAAATAAACAGCAGGCGTCAGGATTGCGATCGAGCACACGACCTCCTGTAAACCAGGCGAGGTAGTTAACATCTAGCCACCGACAGGCTGCATGTGCCACGAAGCGATTTATCACTTCTCCTATACTTTTTTACGCGAAGTTAAAAGACACCAATTGTGCAGGTTTGACTCACAGTCATCAACATAGATGTAGAATGGCCCCATCTCTCTGTTTGAGAGTGGGGATAAATACACTAAAATCACCCGTATCGCCTTATCAGACTGTTGTGGCAAGTGCTGATTAAGGCCGGCACGCCTTTGTCTCCCAAGTGGCGTTGTTAACACGTCTCACCAGGTAATCATTTGAGGCTGAGTCGACCTAGGGTAGGAGGCTCAGTACCAGTTCAGCTAATCGTCACTTGTGATGACCATGAGCGGGAATTGAACTCGGGTCTCTGCCTGGTTTGAAGCGCTAGCCGCTACACTACCATGGGGTGACACATGCACACGCCGTGTGTTTGGACCGTGTTGTCCGACTAGGTCTGCCAGGAAAGCTGGGTCCTCTTGGCCAACCGGGGCTCGCGGGGACTCCGGGAGTCCCAGGTGAGCAGGGCGAAAGAGGCGAGAAAGGCAAGCAGGGAGAGAGCGGCATGGGGCCCAGGTCGGCCTTCTCTGCGAAGGCTGGCGCTTACACGCCGGCGGCCGGCTCCCCCGTGACGTTCAACGTCATCATCACCAACCCGCAGGGCCACTACAACCCCGGCACGGGGAAGTTCACCTGCGCCCACCCAGGCGTCTACTATTTCACGCTGTACGCGCACCCCGGTGAAAAGAACCTCGTAGTTATGATCATGAAAAACGGGGAGGTCATCTCTAAGATATGTGGTATCAACTACAACGCAATAAGCGGCAGCGTCGTGTTGAGTCTCAAAGCCGGCGACGAGGTGTGGCTGGAGATGGAGGCTCCGTACATTCATTTTTACTTGAACGCGCACAGAGACGCCGTGTTCAGCGGCTATATCTTGTACTCCGAGTGAATCGTTTTTGTTTCCATCGGCTCGTCTGGGAAAACAGATTGGGAACACATTAACATGCACGCATATGCACCCCCCCCCCCGTGATAAACAAAGCTTTTGGGCAACATCTCAGAAAAATGCTCAACAAAAATCTGCAAATATTCCCAAAGCTGTGGTAATGACTGTTAAATTTCGGATGTGAGATGTTCTCACCAGAGGAAAAATAGGCCCGGCACTTTTTCTCAGCCACCTCTCTCCTTGCCAGCCAGGGTGTCTGGGCGATTATGAATCGGTTAGACAATGCAGAGAGACATAGCAACTTTCACCAACTGAAAAAGTCCTGAAACCTCACCAATTTTCCCATCCGGCATCGGCAGTGAAGGGAGAAATATTCCAATTCCAGCTGATAGCTATGAAGGTTGCTCATTTCTAACATGGGAGAGAGAGGAGTTCCGATCCATTTTCTGCAATTCTCTCAATATTTTTAATCGGACACCAACACAGATTTTTAAACGCACTTTGACGGCAACAGAAAGAAGGACAATAACTCGATCTGGAATACTGAGAATCTTAACAAGATTTGGAATGCAGTAACTATGCCTTGGTTCGTTACGCACAAGGACGTGGACCAACTGTGGTGGATAATAATTCATTGACAACCAAATACAACCAACTATTCAAACTCTCAGGGACAGTAATAGCACGCGTCTACAGAACCCTGCAGTTCACCAACTTAACACAGCGACCCCGCGTGTCGACAATGACAGAACACCGCGGCGACTTACACAGATAGAGACCACCGCGAGGACCGTTCGCAACAACCCTGACGCACGTCTGGAGTCTGCTGCAGTATATTCTTCACACATATCGTTTGATGCATGGCTTATCAGCTTTAAATGTATTATTGATCAATCGATTGCATTGTTGCACGACAAAGGCGTACGTGTTCACGGAGTGCAGTAAAGTTTGTAGCCACATGTACTGTACGGTACAGTAACGACATTTATACTGACGCCATTTTACTCCAATAAAAACATCTATCATGAATAATATTGGTGGCGACAGCCTACTGCTACTTTAGGTTAAATTGACAGTCATAAAGCACAGGACACCGTCCAGTTAAAGGACCGGAGTTGAACGTTTAGGTGTCAGAATACAAGTCTTCATTGCAGCCCGGTGACACCTACAACCCAGATGTCGCAACCGGGTACCCGATACCCGTACCCTACCCGATACCCGGCTACACGTACCCAGTCGGGTACGGGTACGGGTAGCCGTTTGCGACCCTGGTGCGGCCGGGTACGGGTACGGGTAGGCCGTGAGTCACTGGTGAGTAGCCGTTTGTCACTCATTTCAGGTAGGGTACGGGTAGGGAACGGCTAACCCGTACCCGGCCGGGTACGGGTACTCATTTGCGACCCTGGTGCGGCCGGGTACGGGTAAGGAATCAAAACCCGTTTGCGACCTCTGCTACAGCCGGATGTTGTGTTCAGCCCACGGGGTCTTAAACACAGGAGCACTGGAGATAGAGGCGCTCTCTCTCTCGTCGTGAGTTCAAGACAGCTGCACAAAGTCCCAGCCCAATCAAAACACGCTCCTAGGTGGCACAACTACCGATTCGCCATTTCAACGTTGGTGGGGTGGCTTTGCAAGTTACGACTCACTTTTACTCAAATAGCTAGGGCTGTTTTTTTTAACCCCCGTATATACAACATGTAGGCTATAACTACATATATAACCGGAGGTGCGGGAGGACAATAAACTATGTATCTCTGTGTGAGTTTCCGTGTCTTTGTCTGAGTCTCTTGGTCTCTATGTTAGTTTAGGGGCTTCTATGTTAGTCTTTGAGTCTATGTGAGCCTATGAGTCTCTGCGTGAGTCTATAGGTCATTGTGTGAGTGTTTGCATCTGTGTGAATCTCTGGGTCTCTGTGTGATTATATGGATCTCTATGTGAGTTTGTGTTTCTATGTGAGTCTTTGAGTGTCTGTGTGAGTCTATGGGTCTCTATGTGAGTCTATAGGTCTCTGTGTGAGTTTATGGGTCTCTGTGTGAGTTTATGTATTTATGTTGAACTTCTTTCGCACCGTATGTAGCCAACCGTGCTAATTGAAGGTGCCGGAGATGTACGGCAAACTATTCGTCTGAGTGAGTTTATGGATTTCTGTTTGAGTCTATGGGTCATTGTGTGATTCTATGGGTTTCTGTGTGAGTCTATGGGTCTCTGCATGTGAGTGTATGGGTCTCTGTGTGAGTCTATCGGTCTCTGTGCAAGTCTATGGGTCTATGTATGAGTCTCCAGTCTCTGTGTGAGTCTATGGGTCTCTGTGTGAGTCTATGGGTCTCTGTGTGATGAGTCTAGGGGTCTCTGTGTGATGAGTTTATGGGTCTCTGTGTGAGTATATTGGTCTCTGTGTGAGTATATGGGTATCTGTGTGAGTATATGGATATCTGCGTGAGTCTATGGGTCTCTGTGTGGGTCTATGAGTCTCTGTGTGAGTCTATGGGTCTCTGTGTTTATGGGTATCTGTGTGTGTATGAAACCTCTCCACTCTCTCCCATGCGTCGCATCACGTTGCCTTATACCCCACGCAGGGGAATATCTGCAGCAGCAGCAGCAGCAGCAGCTCCTGACTCTGAATGATTTATGACCTCCGTGTGTATTTTTGTTTTATCGGCCTAGAATCTCTTACTTTCTAAACATATCCAATCCTATTTGGGGATTCGCTCAATCACCAGCAGCAACAACAGCACACGTGGAATGAATTTCCTCTTCTGACATCAGAGCCACCGGTGGGGGGGGGGTGCTTAGACTAGTTTGTCATTTTGTGGGTCTGTTCATGTGTGAGTATCTGTGTGTGCGTGTTCATGTGTGTATATGTGAATGTTCCTATTTGTGTGTTCACATGTGTATTTGTCCGCGGTGCCGGACGGACAACTCTGTCGTGGACAGTTTTGTGGGGGGAGGGCCAATGCCCATTGGCCTCTCCCCTCATGGCGTATCTGACCACCACAGTGGCTAAAGGGGGGCTCTGTACGGGTGTGAGCGGCTGGTAACCGCTCCATCTTCAATTCATTACTACGAAACCACGACTTAAACATAAATATGTAACTAATAAGCTTGTGCCGGAGGCCCCGGGGGGACAGGCGTCTATGACGTCTCCTGGCCGAACCCCAATGGCAGAGCCCGGAGATTGAATCTTCAACCTCGGGGCTCCTCCAGAAACAACGAAAATCCACTACGGATGGCCACATGGAATGGTCGAACGCTCACTGCGTAGGAGAGGCTGCCACTCCTTTGTCGGGAGCTGGACCGGTACCGCCTGGATCTCTGTGGCATTCAGGAGGTCCGGTGGACCGGTTCTGGCTCCTGCTACCATAAGAGGTGGACAGACCTCTACTCGGGGCAGGAGACTGCCAAACAACAGGGTGTGGCTCTTCTTCTGAACAAAAGAAAGAAGGGGGCGTTGGAGTGTGGCGGTGAGGTGTGGGAAGCTGTAAGCCCCAGGCTACTTTGGGCTCGCCTTCCCATCAACCGGAGGCGAGGAGTGGTGGTCGTGGTTACTTATGCCCCCACCGAAGACGAACATCCGTGGAGGGATGCAGGCAAAGCCGATGAGTCCGATGCTTTCTATGACCTCCTGTCACAGGTGCTGGCTAAAGTGGCCACTCGGGACAGAGTCATCTTGTTGGGTGACTTCAATGCCCGAGTTGGTCATGATGCTGGCACCTGGTCTGGAGTGATTGGAAGGCATGGGCCAGATCAGCTCAATAACAACGGTAGGAGAATGCTAGATTTTTGTGCAGCCCATGGGCTTGTAATTACTAACACGCTCTTCTGGCATCGGCGCATCCACACAACATCATGGATGCATGCCGGGTTCAAGCAAGAACATCTGCTGGACTACATAGTGACGGACCAGCGGATGCGAGCCCATGCCCTTGACACCAGGACCTTCCGTGGAGCTGATCTGCCCTCTGACCATCGACTAATCATCTGTAAGATGCGCCTGCCATTCTTCAACTCCGGTGGTGGGTGTACACCCAGGACCCCATACCAACCTAAAGTGGCCTGGTCTCAGTTAGCTGATGAAGTTGGAAGCGAGAATTTCATCATCACTTGCAGCTGGGTTTGGCTTCGTCTCCCACTCCTGCAGCTACAATGGCTGTTTTGAGTACGCGGTACAGACCTCCCCAGAGACCCAGGCTGACAGAGGAGGTGTTCAGCATAGTTGAGAAAAAGCGACAGGCCAACTCTCATCGGCTACAGCATCCCACATCAGAGAATGAGGAGGTTTACCACAGCCTTCGCTCGGAGGTTCGGAGAGCCGTAAAGCGCTGCAAGGATGGGTGGTGGTCGCGGGTTGCTGAGGAGATGGAGTCTGCCTCAGTGGCCCGCGATCACAAATCACTATTTAACTCCATAATCAACGTTTTTGGGTTTAGATCGCGTTATTTATAAATGTGTCTTAACCCTCCACCCGACACGGCCAATCAGTAAAAAAGTGTCACGTTGACAAAAGACAAATAGTTCACTGCCTTAGCATCATCGGGCAATTCGCCAGAATTCTGGCGAATTGCCCGATGATGCTGGATGCAATTACCAGCGAAACGTCGTACTCAAAAATTGTAAATGTTGTGGTTTCACGCATCAACACACCGGTGGGCTAAAGCAGTAAACTATTTGTCTTTTGTCAACGTGACACTTTTTTACTGATTGGCCGTGTCGGGTGGTGGAGGGTTACGACACATTTATAAATAACGCGATCTAAACCCAAAAACGTTGTATTGGTCGCGAAAGCCTACGTGTTAAATTATTTAACTCCATCAAAAAAGTAACCTGCAGCGCCACACCTATTACCATCATGAGGGGAAAAAACGGTGATCCAATCTCCGACCCCCAGGAACAAGTTTGCAGATTTGCTGAGCATTTTTATGAGGTCCTGGGGGAGGGGAAATCCCTCAGCTAGGAAAATATCATGGCACAAAGTGGGGGCGACACTGCTGAGGCTGCGGTGCCTAAAATATTGGAAGAGGTCACCCCTTGTGAGTGGCTGGCTGAGGTGCCATCTGATGAGGAAGTACTGAAGGCGATCCGGAGTCTGAGACCAGGAAAGGCACCGGGCAGAGATGATCTCCCAAGCGAAATTCTGAGGGAGGGTGGCGTTTGTGCACAGACTGCCCTATATGACATCATAACAACAGTCTGGATCGCTGGACGGGTTCCGCAGGATTGGAAGGATGCCCTGGTGGTCCCCCTCATTAAGAAGGGAGACCGCACTGACTGTAACAACTACACGGGCATCTCACTCCTCAGTTTGCCGAGAAAGGTCCTGGCAAGGATAATTCAACATCGCCTTGCTAGGCACGCAGAGGAGAGGCTTGCGGAGCCCCAATGCGGTTTCAGGAAAGGGCGGTCCTGCACAGATGCCATATTTCCTGTCCGTCTGCTACAGCAGAGGTGTAGGGAATTTCAACAAGACCTACATCTCTGCTTTATTGACCTGGTCAAGGCCTATGATATACCATCAGTAGGCCTGGGCTCTGGTTGTTCTTCGTGCTTTCAGAGTCCCTGACCCTCTGCTCACGATCATTAAGGACCTTCATGATGGTGAGCGGGCCCGGGTAAAACTACGTGGCCGGGAGTCAGAGCCTTTCCCTGTACACCTTGGGGTGCGACAGGGATGTTCACTGGCTCCCACATTATTTAACATCTATTTTGACCACGTAGTTCATGAAGCCTTCACTAGCTGTACCGGGGGAATTTCCATTTGGTACAGATATAATGTGAGGCTGATCGATGCCCGGGTGCGATCAATGGATGGCTCCCTATTGTTCAACCACGTTATGTATGCCGATGATTTGGTAATAGCTGCTCATTCAGAGGAGGAGTTGGAGACGCTGCTGCTGAGACTGGAGCATGCTACTAAGAGGTGGGGCCTTACCATTAGCCCCACCAAAACTAAGCACCTGCCTGGGTATTTTGTACCATCGGACACTCCACCCTCACAACTCCTAATCGGTGATGGGGCAGTAGTGGAGAGAGTGGAGAGTTTACCATACTTGGGCGGTGTGCTTATGACCTGCTCCAGTTTAACAGCAGAGGTCTCACTCCGAATCAGTCGAGCGGCAATATTTTTTCATCAGTTGCGTAACGCTGTGTGGAAGCTACCTGGTCTGTCGCTCTGCACGAAGCTTCAGGTCTTCTCGGCCACAGTGATTCCCTCCCTTCTCTACGCTTGCGAAACGTGGACCCCCCTAATGGAGCATCTTCGCCGGTTGAAACCATTTAGGCTGGCCTGCCTATGATCCATCCTGGGTTTAACCAGGGTGGATTGTGTGAGGAGCTCACAAATCCTTAAAAGATCTGGGCAAAATCCCATCAGTGAGCTCCTCCAGCAGGCAAGGCTGCGTTGGCTGGGTCATGTAGCCCGCATTCCCAGCCACCGCATGCCTAAACAGCTTTTGTTCGGCCAGATCGAGGGGGCTAAACGGGCGTGGCATGGGCTAGAGAAGAGATGGAATCATGTTGTCCAAGAGGATGCGGAGCTGAGTGGACTTGCCAATGGCTGTACCAGAGGTGTCAAGATGGGCCTCGGTGGATGAGGCTTGTTAAGAACGCAAATTGGGCAGTTGGAGGCAGTCGCCCTCCAGCGACAACGGAGGGCGGAGGAGCGATGCTCACAACAACGAGCGGAGCGCCGGGTGGCTAAAATGCAAGAAGTGTGTACAGAAGAGGGCACAGGTGGTGCATCGGCCAGTCATCTCAGTCAGTCGACCCATGGTACCTGCTCAGTCTGCCGCATGACCTCCTGCCAGTGGGCGTTCGAAACTTCCCGTGGTCTCAACGTGCACATAGCCTGGCACAAGCACTGTGGTGACGTCACCGCCACATAGTGGCGAATGGCGGTTGTTGTTGTGCACGCACAAGCAAGTGTATGTGTGAAAGTGTCCTTCCCCCGCACCTTCTATTATCACGGTTGACTATGTATGGTGCGAAAGAAGTTCAATGTGCATACACACGTGTCACAGCAAGAGATGGCGGCGGCTGCTTACGGAGGCCTTCATCAAGCAGTGGATAGTCCCTGGCTGATGGTGATGATGAGATATCACACACACATACGAGCGGGTGCGTGTTTTGATTACAAATCGAGAAACGCAATAAGCCTTCACAGACGGTTGGGGCAAGTGCTGTTAACGAGCGGCAGAAGTCTATCTGCATGAGTCTCCCAGTAGGGGCCAATGTTGTTAGAGTGAACTTCTTTTGCACTCTACATAACCGACCGTGCTCATCGGAGGTGTAGGGGAAGGACGATAAACTATGGGTCTCTGTGTGAGTCTATGGGTCGCCCAATAGACTCACACAGATACCCATAGACTCACACAGAGACCCATAGACTCACACAGAAACCCATTGACTCACACAGAGATCCATAGACTCACAAAAAGGCCCATAGACTCACACAGAGGCCCATTAACTCACACAGACACCCCTAGACTCACATAAAGACCCACAGACTCACACAGATACCTATAGACCCACACAGAGACCCATAGACTCACACAAAGACCCATAGACTCACACAGAGACCCATAGACTCACACATAGACCCATAGACTCACACAGAGACCCATAGACTCACACAGAGACCCATATAATCACACAGAGACCCATTCACTCACACAGAGACCCATAGACTCACATAAAGACCCAAAGACTCACACAGAGACCCATAGACTCACACAGAAACCCATTGACTCACACAGAAACCCACAGACTCACACAGAGACCCATAGACCCACACAGAGACCCACAGACTCACACAGAGACCCATATACTCACACAGAGACCCACAGACTCACACAGATACCTATAGACCCACACAGAGACCCACAAACTCACACAGAGACCCATATACTCACACAGAGACCCACAGACTCACACATAGACCCATAGACTCACACAGAGACCCATAGACTCACACAAAGACCTATAGACTCACACAGAGACCCATAGACTCACACAGAGACCCATATAATCACACAGAGACCCATTGACTCACACAGAGACCCATAGACTCACATAAAGACCCAAAGACTCACACAGAGACCCACAGACTCACACAGAGACCTATATACTCACACAGAGACCCACAGACTCACACAGAGACCCATAGACTCACACAGAGACCCACAGACTCACACAGAGACCCATATACTCACACAGAGACCCACAGACTCACACATAGACCCATAGACTCACACAGAGACCCATAGACTCACACAAAGACCCATAGACTCACACAGAGACCCATAGACTCACACATAGACCCATAGACTCACACAGAGACCCATAGACTCACACAGAGACCCATATAATCACACACAGACCCATTGACTCACACAGAGACCCATAGACTCACACAGAGACCCATAGACTCGCACAGAGACCCATAGACTCACACATAGACCCATAGACTCACACAGACACCCATAGACTCACACAGAGACCCATATAATCACACAGAGACCCATTGACTCACACAGAGACCCATAGACTCACACAGAGACCCATAGACTCACACAGAGACCCATAGACTCACACATAGACCCATAGACTCACACAGACACCCATAGACTCACACAGAGACCCATATAATCACACAGAGACCCATTGACTCACACAGAGACCCATAGACTCACACAGAGACCCATAGACTCACACAGAGACCCATAGACTCAGAGACCCATAGATTGTTGTCCTTCCCCCACACATCCGATTAGCATGGTTGTCTGTGTACGACACCAAACAAGTTCAACATACATTCGAGTGGCCTGCGAATGTGCAATCTACCTCCTGCGCTCTCGCCGCACGTACGCAAAACACCAACGATGATTTGAAACACGTGTCAAAACAGTATCACGCTTATCGCCGTGGGAATTTGCGGAAAGAAAATCGTCTCAAATGAGGCGAAAATGGAACTTTGAGGTCATAAGTTGCACCCACCCCACCCCTGTTTCTTGCTATTCTAACAATTGCCATACAAGGCCATGAATCGGTTTCAAGCTTCTCCGATGTGCCATCACCATCGACAACAACCACCATTTGTCACTAAGTGGTGGTGACGTCACCACGGCGCCTGCGCCAGGCCAGGTGAACTTTGAGGCCACGTGACATGTCGAAGGCTCGCTCGGGGGGTGCGTGGCCAGCACAACGCCTGACCGCCTTTGTCTCATACTCTTAGTTCTTTCGGTAAAGTCACGTAGGTAAAAAATTTAATTAAAATTAATAAAAAATAAAAATCACGGCGTTTCGGAGGCAACACAAGCCTCCGTCTTCAGGTGAAACCGCATTTGTCTCCCCAAAGGCGGTGTTTACACACCACACCAGGTACCCATTTGAGGCTGAGTCAACCTAGTGTTGAGATGTTATCTGTCTCGCCTGGTATACAGGGGGTTTCGTGGGTTCGATCCCAACCCTGATGATGCCTGCTGTATATTTGGAGTTGGCGTGTTTCTCTATCTCTCATCATCATCACCGTGGCTAGGAGATGTTAACTACCTCGCCTGGTATACAGGAGGTCCTGGGTTCGAACCCGACCCTGATGATGCCTGCTGTATATTTGGAGTTGGCGTGTCTCTCTATCTCTCTCTCCCCGGGTTCTCCGATTTCCCCCTTAACATTCAGTACTCAACAACACGCGTTAAGAGTGTTTGGGCTGCTGCTGTACATTTCCCCACGATAATAAGCCAATTTCGTTCAGCTATCATCTGTGATGGCCAGGTCGCTTCTGAAAAAGAGCTACAGAGCTAAGTGGGCCTTACCTGGTTGAAATAAAAAGCAATACACTATGAGACATCTTCTTTACCAGTGGCAAACTATAGTAATAGGTTTTTACCCTTTCAACTGGTACACAAACTGACACCTTTATACGTGGGATCATGTTTGCAATAACCAAAACACAAGCAGTCAAAATGCAAACAAAAAGAAACAACTCTGATAATGATATGCTATGTCCTTGAAGTTGACACCCAATACAGCTTTTCCTAGAGCCTAGTCTCCATTGGTGTTGGACCAGATGACGCCAAAAGTACGCCTTTTTTGTTTGCATTTTGACTGCTTGTGTTGTGGTTATTGCAAACATGATCCCTTGTATAAAGGTGTCAGTTTTTGTACCAGTTGAAAGGGTAAAAACCTATTACTATAAAAAGCAATAGTTTAGTTTTGAGTGTTAGTTATCATTACAAAGTCGCTGAAGCAAGTTGAAAAAATAAAAAATCTCCAAAACGTGTGTTAGATCTCGTAAATATAGAAGTGTCGTTAAACTCCCCATCACCACTCAGCACACAAAACGTGCATTAATTAGTGACTAGTTCAGCATTAACCAGTTACTGCGTGTTTGAGAGTTAAACTCACAACATTTCACTCACCATTTGTTGTTCCTCGCTTAAGACTCATCTTTTTTTTAATAGCGCATCCCTCTACTACTTCCTATCCTTGTCCTTCAAACCTCTTAACCATCCTCCCCCTTACTAACCTCACCACCCCTCCCTCTCACTACCATCACCCTCCCTCACCACCCTCACCCTTCCCCTCACTAACCTCACCACCCCTCCCTACCATCACCATCCCTCACCATCCTCACCCTTACTAACCTCACCACCTCCATCTCCCTACCACCACCCTCCCTCACCATCCTCCCCCTTCCCCTCACTAACTTCACCACTCTCCCTCACCATCCTCACCTTACTAACCTCACCACTCTGCCTCTCCCTATCATCACCCTCCCTCACCACCCTCACCCTTCCCCTTACTAACCTCACCACCCTCCCTCACCATCCTCACCTTACTAACATCCCCACTCTCCCTCTCCCTATCATCACCCTCCCTCACCATCCTCACCCTTCCCCTCACTAAACTCACCACCCCTCCCCTTTCCCTATCAACCTCCCTTCCCCCCTCCCCCCATCAGCCAATAACTAATGGACCAATCTTCCTGGTTATTTCGGTAAAGTCACGTAGAAGGGAAATACGTGACTTTACCGAAAGAACCAAGAAGATGAATCCCTGCAGTCACGAAAGCTTTAAATCGAAATTTAACTAATGGACCATTTTGTAATTGTTGCCCAGCGCATTGATAAAAGCGCCGTATAAAATCCTAGAAAAGATTTACACATTCCAGTAGGCTGGTGGCGTTTCGCCGGTGATTGCAACAACCACAAACCAGCCTCCTCAGCCGACAGCCCAGAGTTGTGGAGATAATTCCTCCATTTATCTTACCCAAAATAATAAATGTTGGTTCGCGAAAATCCCTACTGCTCATGTCTAAAAACAAACGAACAGTCTGGGCTACACGTGGGAGCAATTTGTCAATGAAAAGTAATTCCCCGGGGGCGTTTTTTGTTGATTTTGAGATACGACGAGGAATGGGAGAGACGTTCGCCTAGTTGATTTTAGAGTTTTCTTGTACTCGAAGTGTTTTTTTAACATCCAGCACACCTCATAAATACCCAGATGATCAAACCTGCGCGGCAACTGAAGCCGGTGACATCGAGTTGGTGGTGGTGGTTCAGCGCTGTTCAGGACAATGTCGGTACGTAACGAGTGGTGTCACGCGCACACGCTTGTGTGTTCTGCATATCAGTGTGCGCGCGCGTGTGTGCGTCAGAGTGTGTGTACGTGTGTGGTCAGTGTCTGTGTGTGTGTGTTTAACCAGGCTCGATTGTGTGAGGAGCTCACAAATCCTTGATAGTTCTGGACAAGTCCCATGTGTGAGCTCCTCCGGCAGGCAAGGTTGCGTTGGCTGGCTCATGTAGCCCGCATGCCAAACCACCGCATGCCTAAACAGCTTTTGTTCGGCTAAACGGGCGCGGCATGGTCTAGATAGGAAATGAGTGATGTGGTAAAAGAGGATGGGGAGCTGAGTGGACGTGCCGATGCCTGGTACCAGCGGTGTCAAGATCGGCCTCTGTGGAGGAGGCTCGTGAAGGACGCTGCTACTGGGCAGTTGGAGGCAGTCGCCCTCCAACAACAACGGAGGGCGGAAGAGCGACGCTCACAACAACGAGCGGAGCGCTGGGTGGCTAAAGCACAGCAAGTTGGCACAGAAGGGGGCACAGGTGGTGCATCAGCCAGTCATCTCAGTCAGTCGACCTCATGCCAGCGAGCGTTCGAAACGGCGGTGTCGAATGGCAGTTGCTATTGTCAGTGTGTATGTAGGTGTCGGTGTGTGTGTGCATGTCAGTGTGTGTGGGGAGCGGTAGTGTAGTGGTTAGCGCGGCGCTTATTTGAACCGATCATGGGCCTCCTCTAGGTCGACTCAGCCTTAAATGGGTCCTCTACCTGGTGCGATGTGTAAATATCGCCACTGGTGATACAAAGGCGGTCGGGCGTGGTGCTGACCACCCACCCCCTCGTGTACCGTTTCAGCCTTCATATTTGCTCGCTAACACCACTTGCTACTCTCTGTGAAATTGGTGTCCCCGTGTCTCCCTCTCTGAGACAAATGTCCCTGTGTCTCCCCTCTCTGTGTGACAGGTGTCCCCGTGTCACCACGCGTGGCTCCTCCTGCTGTTGCTGAGGACACCCGTGGCCTCCAAGGGGCAGATTTTAGGAGATGGATCGGAGAGTCGCTGTGTAGCCGGGGTTAACGGCCTTCCCGGGGTCCCTGGGACGCCAGGATCGCCCGGGAGAGATGGGAGAGATGGTAGGAGAGTGGAGAGTGGAGAGAGAGGGTTATAGAGATGGAGAGAGAGGAGAGAGTGAGAGATGGCGAGAGATGGAAAATGGGAGAGATGGTGAGAGAGAGAGAGCGAGGAGAGATGGGAGAGATTGTAGGAGAGTGGAGAAAGAGGGTCATAGAGATGGAGAGAGTGAGAGAGGAAAGAGTGAAAGATGGTGAGAGATAAAAACATGGGAGAGATGGTAAGAGAGAGAGCGAGGAGAGAGATGGGGAAAGTTAGATTGAGAGCGATGGAGAGAGATATGGAAATATGTAACAGATGGTGAGAGAGGCGAGAGAGAGGGGAGATGGGGAGAGATAGTGAGGGAGAGCAGAGAGGGGAGATGGAGAGAAAATGAGAGAGAGGAGAGGTGGGGAGAGTGAGATTTGAGAGAGATTAATAGAGAGAGAGATGGAGAATGGTGAGAGAGAGAAAGCGAGAGAGGGGAGAAATGGTGAGAAAAAGAGGTGGGGGGGGGGGGGGGGAGAGATGGTGAGAGAAAGCGAGAGAGAGATGGAGACAGAGGGGGAACATGAGAGGAAAGTTGGGAGAGAGAGGGGAGCCGGGTGGGGAGAGAGATGATATATTGAAGAGAGAGAGGGGGGCATGAGATGGAAGACAATCTTGATTTCGTCTCTGCAGGTATCCATACTCTTTGGTTATTTCGATAAAGTCACGTAGGTATAAAATAAAATATAAAATAATTATATTTGTATTTTTTATGAGTGAGATTTGAGAGAGATGAATAAATACAAATATTTTCTTTTTTTTCTTTTATACCTACGTGACTTTACCATAAGAACCAAAGAGCGTGGAAGACACTGTGAGAGAGGAGGGAAGGAGATGGTCAAAGAAAGTGAGGATAGAGGGGAGAGTAGAGGGAGGTGGAGAGGGGAGGGGTGATAAAGTGGGGCGTGAGTGGGAGGAGAGAGGGAAGAGCGAGGACAGAGAAGAGTAGGAAGAGGAAAGAGAGAGAAGGGAGAGATGGGAGCGGGGTGATAGAGTAGAGAGTGAGATTGAGAGAGATATGAGAGATTATTAATTCACGTCGAAATCTCAGGTGGCGAGGTTAATCTGCAAATCGGATAAAACCACACGTGGTTACCCTTTAATGAAGGTGGCCGTGTTTTTTCCTGGGCGTTTTAGCGAACGGTGACACAACTCAACGCCTCACCGTGACGCGGCATTACACACAGACGGACGGTTGGTCGGTCAGTCGGTCAGATGCATGGACTGTCGGTCAGTCGTTCGGTCAGTCAGTCAGATGGATGAACGATCCGTCGGTCAGATGGACGGTTGGTTGGTTGGTAAGATGGTCAGATGCATGGACGGTCAGTCAGTCGGTCAGTCAGTTGGTCAGATGGATGGACGGTCGGTCAGTCGTTTGGTCAGTCGGTCAGATGGATGGACGGTCGGTCGGTGAGATGGACGATTGGTCGGTCGGACGGTCAGATGCATGGACGATCAGTCAGTCGGTCGGTCGGTCAGATGCATGTACGGTCGGTCAGTCAGTCGGTGAGTCGGTCAGATGGATGGACTGTCGGTCAATCATTCAGTCAGTCAGATGGATGGACGGTCGGTCAGTCGTTTGGTCAGTTGGTCAGATGTATGGACGGTCGGTCGGTGAGATGGACGATTGGTCGTTCGGTCAGTCGGTCACATGGATGGACATTCGGTCAGTCGTTCGGCCAGTCGGTCAGATGAATGGACGGTCAGTCAGGCGGTCAGTCAGTCAGATGGATAGATGGTCGGTCAGTCGGTCAGTCAGTCGGTCAGATGATAGATGTTCGGTCAGTCGGTCACATGGATGGACATTCGGTCAGTCGTTCGGCCAGTCGGTCAGATGGATGGACGGTCAGTCAGTCGGTCAGTCAGTCAGTCAGATGGATAGATGGTCGGTCAGTCGGTCAGTCAGTCGGTAAGATGGATAGATGGTCGGTCAGTCGGTCAGTCAGTCGGTCAGATGGATAGATGGTCGGTCAGTCGGTCAGTCAGTTGGTCAGATGGACGGTTGGACAGACAGACGGACAGAAGGACGGACGAAACGCACAGGCAGAGCTGAGCTGTGCCTATCCATTGAGGCGTAAAAAAAGAGATGAGTTGATCCTCTCCGCAGGGAATCCGGGAGCGCAGGCCCTCAAAGGAGACATCGGGAACCCGGGAATCAAAGGTAGCCATGGAGAACCAGGTGAGTCATCATGAAACTTAGAACTAAACAATGTTTTCATTTTATTTAACCAGCTATATAGCTCTTTTTCAGAAGCAACCTAGGCTGTGAAAAATGATATCAGCTCAACGAATTGGCGGTTCCTCATCATCACGTGGGAATGGGTAGCAGGAGCCAAATTACTCTAAACGCGTGACGTCGATTCTAAATGTGGAGAGGAAAAAAAATGGAGGACCAGGAGAAAAATCCACGCGACCACGGGGAGAGAAAAAGATGCAAACTGCAAATATACAACAGGCGTCAGGGTCGGCATCGAACCCCACAATCTCCTGTCCATCAGGCGAGGTGGTCAACATCTCGACAGCCTTGGTCTATCCACTGCTGGATGATGATCAACATTGATTTTGATTTAAAGTTTTCGTGACTGCAGAGATTCATATTCTTGGTTAAATCGCTAAAGTCACGTAGAAGGGAAATAATAAAATAATAAAAATATAAAACATTATATCACGACGTTTCGACTGCAACACAAGCAATCGTCATCAGGTGTGAAATCCACAGCAAGAAAATTAAAAAAAAAGGAAAAACCGCCACTTTTTTCAAATTTTCTTGCTGTGGATTTCACACCTGACGATGATTGCTTGTGTTGCAGTCGAAACGTCGTGATATATTGTTATTGTTATATATTTATATTATTTTATTATTTCCCTTCTACGTGACTTTACCGAAAGAACCAAGAATATCAACATTGATGTCGGAAATCAGAATCTTTATCCTGGAGAAATCCGATGAGCTACGAAACTATTTTTCACAGTTATCCAGTGAGGGGGCGGGTGACTAGCTTGTGTCTGTTGTCTAATCCACGGTGGCTAGGAAATGTTGGCTACCTCGCCTGATATGCAGGAGAGCGTGGGTTCGATCTCGACCCTGACGCCTGATATATATTTGGAGTCTGCGTCTCTCTCCCTCTCCCCGTGGCCGCGTGGAATTTTTTTCCCCGGGTCCTCCATTTACATTTAGAATCAACGTCACGCGTTTATGGTTTTTGGCTGCTGCTATAAATTTCCACATGATGATGATGATCATTTGTGATAGCCAGGCCGCTTGTGCAAAAGAGCTGCATTTCAGCTCAGTGGGGCTTTACCCAGTAAAATAACATTTTAAAAATCGTTGATAGTTTGATTCCGCGTCTTCCTCTCCGTCTCTCAAGTGGAACTCCGAGTGTGTATCCGGGGCCAGATTAAGATTGTGTAGGCCCCTGGGCTACAGGTAACTGTGAGGCCCCCAGTAATATTTTCAAAAGAGAAACAAAGTTAAAGAATTGTTTTTTTAGTTTTTACAAGGCTAACAACAAATACAATTCAGCATTCACAAATTTTAAACAAAAACTTTTCACTTAATCTTTGGAGGCCATCCAGCTGGCGAAGGCCCCTGGGCTCCAGCCCTAAAGCCCCCGTGCCTTAATCCGGCCCTGTGTGTATCTCTCCATGCGTCTATACAAAATCGTCAGCGTTCATTTAGAATCAGAATCTGTATTTGTAACTGCAGGGGGAATCTGATGAGCTATAAAGCTCTTCTCGTCACAGACGTCTTCAGTTAGGGGCACGAAGTCAGAAAGTTACAACAACAAACACAATACACGCGGACACACGATAGGAGTGAAAATAATAAGCAGGGTAGACAAATAACTTTAAATAAATATGGAGAGATTGTATCACTACCAACGATACTCACTTGAGTTGGTGGACACCGCGTAACACGGATAATCGGGAAGTAAAAACAAGTCCCTCTGATTGGTAACGTAACTGGCCTGAAAGGTGATTAGTTAGAGGCGGGGACATTGTGAACGGAGGATGATTGACAGGGTAGACGGTTGGAATCCGTTAGGAAATGTGGAAGGTGATTGGCTGGAGGTAAAGCGGAAGTTGAAGGAACCTTCGGTAAAAGGGACTTGGAGGGTTAGATAAGGGGGAAGAGAGCGAGCGAGTTCGGGACGCTTGGAGTGAAGGAAATCCTTTGAAGACCCGCGTGTCTCTTGCTGGAAGAAATAAAGACTCCTATTATTGAAGAATACTGTGTCACTATAAATAAAAACATGTTTTAACGTGATAATTGTTTTTTTACCCTTCTATCTGGCCACAAAACCGACACCTTTTTTACGAGGAGTCATGTTTGCATAGACCACAATACCTGCCGTCATAATGCAAACAAAAAACACAACTTTGATAATGTGCACTGTCCTTGAAGTTGATTGGTCCACACCCGAGACAGCTTTCCTTAGAGCCTAGTCTCACATGGGTTGGACCAGATGACGCCAAAAGGCGCGCAACTCAAAGACAATGCACCATCAGAGTATGAGAGCTCGGGGTAAGCATTTACACCATTGGAACCTCATTTGCCAGTAAAAATATGATTATTGGTTTGTTACCCTTCTATCTGGCAACTAGTTGATTGGTCTCGGGTGTGGACCAATCAACTTCAATGACAGTGCACATTATCAGAGTTATGTTTTTTGTTTGCATTATGACTGCAGGTATTGTGGTCTATGCAAACATGACTCCTTGTAAAAAGGTGTCAGTTTTGTTGCCAGATAGAAGGGTAAAAAAACAATTATCATATTTTTTACTGGCAAATGAGGTTCCAATGATGTTTTAACGTATTAAATAATCCATAATAGAGGGGGTTTTTGGGCGTTACATCGCGTAAATATATACATGTGTCGCGATCTAACCCAAAAAAACCTTTATCATGAATGATATTGGTCGCGAAAGCCTACGTGTTCAACGTATTACATTCTATACTCTTTGGTTCTTTCGGTAAAGTCACGTAGGTATAAAATAAAATAAATTACGACGTTTCGGGCGCAACACAAGCGTCCGTCATAACCTTGTAACTGTAGAGACCCTTGTGCCTGAAGAAGAAAGTGCATCACGTGATGTTGCACGTATCCATCCGGAAAAAAACACAAGGTGGACACTGAGCGCCGAACACTCGACGCTACTGTGACGGGATCCGTATCGTTACGAACGTGCGTCTATGTTGTCTCTTGCAGGTGGCAGTGGAATTCCGGGGACGAAGGGTAAGCCTTTGCAAGGTCGCCACGGTGATCGTCATCACCGCCATGGTCTACCCACTGCTGGGTGATGTCTTCTCAATAGGCCGCGCGAACTCCGGGGTTTCCTCGCAGCCGCGGCGGTGGCGGTGGTAGCTTTTGGCTCAGCCATCGAACAAAGATGGCCACGCATCGTGGGCTGCTTTTGGATGCGGTTCTGCACTCTTCTTCCAGACATTCCGCAAAGCCACTGGGGAGCAAATCCACTTTGAAATCATCGTCTAGATTGACAAACTCGTTTCTCTAGGACTGTTTTTGTGTGTTTAGTTGATTGTAATTCCCCCGGACCTCTCATTGGCGCAGTTGGCTACGTACGGTGCGAAGGAAGTTCAACATACATATATAGAGACCTATAGACTCACACAAAAAACCCATAAATTCATCACACAGAGACCCATCGGCTCACACACAGACACCCATGGACTCACACACAGAGACCCATAGACTCACCACACAGAGACCCATAGACTCACCACACAGAGACCCATAGACTCACACAAAAAACCCATAAATTCATCACACAGAGACCCATGGGCTCACACACAGACACCCATGGACTCACCCACAGACACCCATGGACTCACACAGAGATCCATAGACTCATACAGAGACCCATAGACTCACACAGAGACCCATAGACTCACACAGAGACCCATGCACGCACACACAGAGACCCATGGACTCACACACAGAGACCCATGGACTCACACAGAGACCCATAGACTCATACAGAGACCCATAGACTCACACAGAGACCCATAGACTCACACAGAGACCCATGCACTCACACACAGAGACCCATGGACTCACCCACCCCCTCGTGTGCCGTGCCAGCCTTCATAGAAGCTGGCTCTACGTGGGGATGTTTTTCGTCGTTTTTGTGTGTATAAGTCTGTACGTATGGTGAACTTATTTCGCACCGGATGTAGCCAACCGTGCTAATTGGAGGTGTGTGTACGTATTCGTGTGTGTGTGTGTGCTGTGAAAGATGGTGACAGATTGGAGGGTGCCTTAATCCAGCAGTTGACAGGCCATGGGTCGATGTCTCTGTGTGATTCAGGTGAACCCGGTCAAAAGGGAGATATGGGAACCCAAGGTGCAAAAGGTGAACGAGGATTCCTCGGTACGTATATTCGTAACGATACAGAGATATGTTACTGGTAGGAACCCACTGGTTCCACCAGCCCACAGGGGATTATTGTGTCCGTCCGTCGTGCAGGGAGGGGCTGGGTGGGGAGGGAGGGGCTGGGTGCGTAGGGAGGGGCTGGGTGGGGAGGGGAGGGTGGGGAGGGGCTGGGTGGGGAGGGTGGGGCTGGGTGCGTAGGGAGGGGCTGGGTGGGTGGGGAGGGGAGGGTGGGGAGGGGCTGGGTGGGGAGGGGAGGGTGGGGAGGGGCTGGGTGGGGAGGGTGGGGCTGGGTGGGGGGTGGGAGGGGTGGGGCTGGGTGGGAAGGGGCTGGTCACCCCGTGGTGCCCTTATAAAACTCAACGTTTAACCTACTCACGCCGGCTTGTGCCCGCCCTCACAGTCGGGCATATTTGCGGAATACACCACGCCGCCATTGACCCTGGCCATTGACCGAGCAACCCAACGTTCCTACCAGCTCCCTCCGCAGGAATGTGTTAACTACCTGGCCTGGTATACAGGGGGGTCGTTTGTTCGATCCCGAACCGGCATTGCGTCGTTATATGTTGTACGGTCTGTTCTGGGGTCAATTAATTGGGGGGGGGGGTCACAAGACATCTGGACCACTCTGTACTGGACTGCGCTGCCTTCGTTTCACTGGGCCGTGTTTCTCAGCCGTCCATCATCAACGCAGCGGGTTGAGCGATTGGCTCGCAATCGGAGAGTCACCAATTCAAATCGTGGTCGGGGAATCACTCGACCCATCAGCCCTCCGGGGTGGATAAAAATAGTAACTACTTTAGGGGCGAGTCAACAGTGATCCTCCCCACCCTGCCATAGGAATGTGGAATGTCCACCACTGGCTCAGGGCTGTGAACAGGAGATGATCAAGAACCACGGTGCTGACTTTGAATCTTTGGCTTTTAAGTTCAATGGGTCGGAGGTAATCTCAACCAATCATCAATCCAGGGTCGGGAAAACAAGTACCGAATTGTGGCGAGGCAGCAGTGGTTGTCATCGGAGCAAGAGCCCGATATTTTTGCCATCTGGGAAAAGATGCTGTACAGGGTGGTCCAGATGTCCTCTTACCTCAAATTAATTGATCCCTAAAACGTGTTTCTCTTTGCATATTCATTTCTGTTTTAAATAAACCTTTGGTTAAAAATATTAAGTTTGAGAGAATGAAATGGGGGTCACAAAACATCGAGACCACCCTGTACTTGCCCCTTCCCCGTGGCCTGTCCTTACTGGAGCAGACTGCCCCGTCATGAGCACGTGGATAATTCCACTCTTATCTCGGGGGCCACCAGAAGACACGAGTGTCGCCCCGTTAACGCTAATTTAATAATAATAATAATGTGTCTTCTTGGCAGAGGTGGGACAAAGTCATTGTTATGCAAGTCTAAGTCGAGTCTGAAGTCATCAAATTCATGACTCGAGTCTGACTCGAGTCCAAGTCACATGACTCGAGTCCACACCTCAGAGGTGGGACAAAGTCATTGTTATGCAAGTCCAAGTCGAGTCTGAAGTCATCAAATTCATGACTCGAGTCTGACTCGAGTCCAAGTCACATGACTCGAGTCCACACCTCTGCTTCTTGGTTCTTTCGGTAAAGTCACGTAGAAGGGAAATAATAAAATAATAAAAATAAAACATAATAAACATAATAAAATACGTTGTGGCCAAAACGTCGTTAGAATTGTAGAGCCTAGTCTCACTTGGTGTTGGACCAGATGACGCCAAAAGGTGCACAACTCAAAGACAATGCACCATCAGAGTATGAGAGCTCGGGGTAAGCATTTACACCATTGGAACCTCAGAAAAGGTGTCAGTTTTGTTGCCAGATAAAAGGGTAAAAAACCAATTATCATATTTAGCCACTGACAAATGAGGTTCCAATGGTGGAGCATGGTTACTCTACGGTAAATACTCGTGCAGTTGTGACCAGGGCGGCCTACGGGTATCGAACCGCGAACGCCTGCGCTACCGGGGAGGTCAGGTCACCGCCCCGATGATGCTGAATTCACTGTCAAGCGGCGAGTCATTCCGCTGTCCGATTGCCCCTGTTGCTTGACAAAACACGTGTAGTGCACGGGGCGTGTCCGACCCGTGCACTACACGCGCTCGTGCCGGGCACGTGTCTGTGTGTCCGCCCCGTGCACTACACGCGCTCGTGGCGGGCACGTGTCTGTGTGTCCGCCCCGTGCACTACACGCGCTCGTGCCGGGCACGTGTCTGCGTGTCCGCCCCGTGCACTACACGCGCTCGTGCCGGGCACGTGTCTGCGTGTCCGCCCCGTGCACTACACGCGCTCGTGCCAGGCACGTGCCTTGCGTGTCCGCCCCGTGCACTACACGCGCTCGTGCCGGGCACGTGCCTTGCGTGTCCGTCCCGTGCACTACACGCGCTCGTGCCGGGCACGTGTCTGCGTGTCCGCCCCATGCACTACACGCGCTCGTGCCGGGCACGTGTCTGCGTGTCCGCCCCGTGCACTACACGCGCTCGTGCCGGGCACGTGCCTTGCGTGTCCGCCCCGTGCACTACACGCGCTCGTGTCGGGCACGTGTCTGCGTGTCCGCCCCGTGCACTACACGCGCTCGTGTCGGGCACGTGTCTGCGTGTCCGCCCCGTGCACTACACGCGCTCGTGCCGGGCACGTGTCTGCGTGTGTGGCGAGCGGCAGTGTAGCGGATTAGCGCTACGCTGCGCTACGAACCCTGCTCTCCGAGTTCAATTCCCGCTCATGGCCAACAACAGTGACGATTTTATTTGAACCGGTCCTGGGCCTTCATTAGGTCGACTCAGCCTCAAATTAGTATGTGCTGTGGTGTGTAAACATCAGCACTGGGGAGACAAAGGCGGCCGGGCGTGGCGTTGGCCACACCACTGCCTTCCCTCATGCACCGTCCCAGCCGTCATAGGTACTTGCGAATAGCACATTCGTGGACAGCCTGTTAAAGGCGATATGGGGGATATTTACTGTTGTTTATTGTCTTTGTGCCACCCCTTCGTGCGCTATGCCGGCCTTCAAAGGCTCTCGGCAACAAAGCCTGGCCCCAACAACCAGTTGCGAGATGTTCGGGATGGCCGCACGATGGCGAGATGTTAACTGCCTCGCCTGGTATACAGGAGGTCGTGGGTTCGATCCCATGGTGGCTAGGATATGTTAACTGCCTCGCCTGGTATGAAGGAGGTTGTAGGTTCGATCCCGACCCTGACATAACGGTGACTCGATGTCAACTACCTCGCCTGGTATACAGGAGGTCGTGGGTTCAATCATGACCACGACGCAATGGTGGCAAGGAGATATTAGCTACCTCACCTGATATACAAGAAGTCGTGGCTTCGATCCTGACCCTGACAATGCCTGCTGTAGATTTAGAGATTACGACCTCTCTTTCTTTCTCCCCGTTGATTTTTCTCTGGGTCCTCTGGGTTTTCCCTCCCACATTTAGACACAGAATGCACTTCGTGTATTTGGCTGACGATAGGCCACTTCGTTGGGCTGTTATTTGTGATTGCCAGGTGGTCGCTTTTGAAATAGCTCCATAGCAGCTCAGTGCGGCCGTGCATGCTAAAATAAAAATATATATAGTATGCAGGAGGTCCCATGATGTCGAGATTTTGCTGGGTAACCGCGCCTCGTAATAATTATAATACAAAATAACCGAAATTTCATTAACTTTTCCATACATCTCAACTTCATGAGAGATGACATATATAAGTACGTATGCTAAACTTCATTTGCACCATACGTATCTAACCATGCTAATTGGAGGAGCGGCAGGACAACTAACTAAACACAATGAGCAGTTCTAAAGAAGTAGCAGTGTAGTGTATAGCAGAGTAGTGTCCATGTGAGTATTTCGTGTCTCTGTGAGTCTATAGATTTCTGTACGAGTCGATGGGTCGTTGTTTGGGTCTACGCGTCTTTGAGTGAGTCTATGGGTCTTTGTGTGAGTCTATGGGTCTCTGTGTGAGTCTATGGGTCTCTGTGTGAGTCTATGGGTCTCGGTGTGAGTCTATGGGTCTCTGTGTGAGTATATGGGTCTCTGTGTGAGTCTATGGGTCTCTGTGTGAGTCTATGGGTCTCGGTGTGAGTCTATGGGTCTCTGTGTGAGTCTATGGGTCTCTATGTGAGTCTATGGGTCACTGTGTGAGTCTATGGGTCTCTGTGTGAGTCTATGGGTCTCTGTGTGAGTCTATGGGTCTCGGTGTGAGTCTATGGGTCTCTGTGTGAGTCTATGGGTCTCTGTGTGAGTCTGTGGGTCTCGGTGTGAGTCTATAGGTCTCTGTGTGAGTCTATGGGTCTCTGTGTGAGTCTATGGGTCTCTGTGTGAGTCTATGGGTCTACGTGTGAGTCTATGGGTCTCTGTGTGAGTCTATGGGTCTCTGTGTCTATGGGTCTCTGTGTGAGTCTATGGGTCTTTGTGTGAGTCTATGGGTCTCTGTGTGAGTCTATGGGTCTCGTGTGAGTCTATGGGTCTCTGTGTGAGTCTATGCACGTATATTGTACCTCTTTCACAATGTATGTAGCTAACCGTGCAAATTGGAGCTGCGGGAGAGAAGGACGACAAAAATCGAGATTGTGATTTAAAAGTGGCATTGCTCCCCACTTGCTTAATAACATCGGGACGGGGAGAGTGTTCCACCCGGACCGCAGAAACAGCGCAATCGGAAGTTGCTCATGCGATGTGGTGACGACAACGACATATCGCACCATACCCTCTACCCACACTTCCCCCCCCCCCACCCTGTACAGGCCAGCCGGGTAAGATGGGGCCGCTGGGCCTCACAGGGCCCATGGGTCCGGAGGGACCCCCGGGACAAAAAGGGTCGAGGGGAGAGGGGACGGAAGCTCCACGTTCAGTCTTCAGCGTCAAGGTCACGGCCTCCAACGCGCTGGCGCTGTCCAAAGTCCCGGTGAGTTGATGGGGGTCTGGGTGTGCGGCTGAAACGTCGGTCAAATCGAACTACCATTCGCCAAAAGGGGCTAATTGTACAAAAGGCAATGCAAGTACAGGGGTTTCCAAGACGTCGTTTCGCGCTTACGTCGCTGACTCTTTTGAGGAACCCGATGTAAAATGTTCCCCACTCAGACATGCATCTTCTTGGTTCTTTCGGTAACGTCACGTAGAAGGAAAATAATAAAATAATAAAAATAAAAATAATAAAATAATTCTCACGACGTTTCGGCCACAACGCAAGCAGCCGTCCTCAGGTGGAGAACAGGTCTGTCGGAAAGACAGCGTCTGAATGAACACCACCCCAAGCTTGGCAGCGTATATTTAAGCTGGGTTGGAGGGGGAAGAGCGCCTTGACAAATGCATTTGCATATCAAGAGGAATTTAGCATGTTTATGGGAAATGCAGATATGGGATTAGTCACTACTTGTGGAATGCGTAGGAGGTGAATCCCTGCAGTCACGAAAGCTTTAAATCGAAATCAGACATGCGTCGTTACGGTGTTTTCGTACTGTGCAACTCATAAACTGGAGTGCTTTCCCACCTGATGATGGACGCTTGTGTTGCGCCCGAAACGTCGTCATTTATTTTACTTTCATACCCACGTGACTTTACCGAAAGAACCAAAGAGTATGGGTTCTTGCAGTCACGAAAGCTTCAAATCAAGATCGTACTGTAACAACTTGCAATCTCTACATGCGCCGCCATCCTTCTCGGTCCCATCGTGTTCTCTCTCGTGCGTCGTGCGTAGTTACAGAGGCGTAGCTAGGATATTTTGCGCCCGGGGACGAAGGCATCTCATAGAGTAAATGCTTCACCCCGAGCTCTCAATACTCTGATAGTGCGCTGTGTTTGAGTTGTACGCCTTCTGGTGTCATCTGGTCCAACACCAATGGGGACTAGGCTCCAAAGAAAGCCGTCTCGGGTGTGGACCAATCAACTTCAAGGACAGTGCATATTATTATCATTATCAGAGTTGCTTCTTTTTCTTTGCTTTTTTGACTACTTGTGTTGTGGTTATTGCAAACATGATGCCTTGAATAAAGGTGTCAGTTTTGTACCAGTTTAAAGGGTAAAAACCTACTACTAGTTTCAGGCTGCCGCGCCCGCTGCAATAAGTTATAATGTAACGTTGTAAGCCTCATTTTGGCGCCCCTTTACCTTGGCGCCCGGGGACATATGTACCCCCCTGCCCCCCCCTAGCTACGCCTCTGCGTAGTTACGAGTGCTCGCTTTGTCGATGGGTACGGGCTTTGTCGCAAATGATCGTCGCGACCACTTCAACAATGAGAGGGCGAGCGTGGTGCTCATGTGCACTCGGTTAGCGTAAGAAAAATGGCGGTGGTGTTCAAATGTGAAGTCATATAAAGCGTAGCAGTTGATGTTGGGCACCATTTGATTCAGAATCAGAATTTATACTGCAGGAGGAATCCGATGAGCTATGAAGCAGTTTTTTTTCCACAGATGTCCAGTTAGGGGCACGGTGTCAGAATGCTACAACAACAAACAATACAAAAATATGATAGTAGCGCAAAGTACAAGAAAGGTAAACGAATCACCCAAATTTTGACTTAAAACTTTCGTGACTACAGGAATACATATTCTTTGGTTCTTTCTGCAAAGTCACGTAGATAGAAAATAATACGCTTTGATCGCAACACAAGCTTCCGATTACGACCGCACGTATTGCGATCGAAACGTTGTGAGTTTTTGGTTTTTATGTTTAAAATATTTTGTTATTATTCTTGGTTCTTTTGGTAAAGTCACGTAGAAAGGAAATAATAAAATAATAAAATCTAAATTTATCTTTAAATCAAAATTTGTATTATTATTTTTATATATTTTATTTTTCATAAATTTCTGTCTCCATGACTTTACCGAAAGAACCAAAGAATATGAAATCACCCAAACACTCATAAAACTAAACCATCCCCATTCTACTAGGCAAATCCCACTGAGGGACTAACATTTTTCAGAAGCGATCTGGCCATAAATGATAGCTCAACAAATTCGCCCATCATTAGGACATTTATAGCATCAAAATAATCTACAGAAATGTAATGCATGTTTCTAAATATGGAGGGAAAATCGGAGAACCCGGAGCAAAACACCCACACTACCATGGAAGAGAGAGACTCATGCAACCATCAAATACTGGCAGTCCTCTATTTACGATAGAGATGCATTACGACGACCCCACCGTAAGTAAAACATATCGTAAGTCGAAGATGGCCTAGCCTACCCAGGAGTCTTAAAGAATGGTGATAATTTATCAAAACGTAGAAATTTACAGTACCGTACTGTATAAACCAATCAACTTCAGGGACAGTGCACATTATCAGAGTTATGTTTGTTGTTTGCATTACGACTGCAGGTATTGTGGTCTAAGCAAACATGACTCCTTGTAAAAAGGTGTCAGTTTTGTTGCCAGATAGAAGGGTAAAAAAACAATTACCGACTTCTTGGTTCTTTCGGTAAAGTCACGTAGAAGAGGGCCACGATGACTTCAGGTCAGGCCGGTTCACCGCCCACCCACCCACAGATTCCATTTGCCGGTGCGATCGTCAATGAGCAGTGCCACTATGATGTAACATCTGGCCGGTCCACCTCCCACCCGCAGATCCCGTTTGATGGCGCCATCGTCAACGAGCAGGACCACTTCAACGTCCAAACGGCCAAGTTCATGGCCCACCACGCGGGCCACTTTCACTTCTCCTTCCACGTGGCCCTCGAGGCGTCAGCATCGCGCGTCGACGTTATGCGCAACTCAGAGAGGGCGCTGCGCTACTCGGACTGGGCGCTGGCCCGGAGCCCCGGCTGGGTTGTAGTCAGCGGGGCCTTCGTGCTGCCGCTGGAGGTCGGCGATGAGGTGTGGCTGACGGCACAGGGCGCCTCCTTCACCAGCCCCAGCGTCAAGGTCTTCCCTGACAGCTCATTCACCGGGTTCCTGCTCTACTAACTCGGATTGTGAGATGTTTAAAGCCTCGGTTTCAAAATTGTGTTCCACGAGCGAATTCTTCTTCTTCTTTCGTCTTTCTTCCTTCTTCTTCCTTCTACTTCTTCATCATCTTCATCTTCATCATCATCATCTTCATCTTCTTCTTCGTACGGTGGGTGTAGATGTAGCGCAAGGTGTCGCCAAGCTGCGGCTCTGGAGTTGTAGGCGGCTCTTTGCGTTACTGCTTCGTGATGTAATATATTGTGTATTCACATGCATTGCGGCTGTTTATGTTACTGCTTCATTACCATTACCCATAGACTAGCATTGCCCGTAGGCTAACAATGCACATAGACTATCATTGCACATAAACTAACATTGCCCCTGCACTAACATTTCACTTAGACTAACATTGCCCATAGACTATCATTGCACATAGACTATCAGTGCCCCATAGACTAACATTGCCCGTAGGTTATCAGTGCCCATAGACTATCAGTGCGCCATAGACCAACATTGCCCATAGACAAACATTTCACTTAGACTAACATTGCCCATAGGCTAACATTTCACTTAGACTAACATTTCTTGTAGACTAACATTGCCCATAGACTATCAGTGCCCCATAGACTAACATTGCCCATAGACAAACATTTCACTTAGACTAACATTGCCCATAGGCTAACATTTCACTTAGACTAACATTTCTTGTAGACTAACATTGCCCATAGACTATCAGTGCCCCATAGACTAACATTGCCCATAGACTAACATTTCACTTAGACTAACATTGCCCATAGACTAACATTTCACTTAGACTAACATTTCTTGTAGACTAACATTGCCCATAGACTATCAGTGCCCCATAGACTAACATTGCCCGTAGACTAACATTTCACTTAGACTATCAGTGTCCATAGATTACCAGTGCCCATAGACTAACATTATACACGTAGACTAACATTGCCCATAGACTAACATTTCTCGTAGACTAACATTGCCCATAGACTATCAGTGCTCGATAGACTAACATTGCCCATAGACTAACATTTCTCGTAGACGAATATTGCCCATAGACTAACATTTCACTTAGACTATCAGTGCCCGATAGACTAACATTGCCCATATACTAACATTGCCCATATACTAACATTGCCCATAGACTAACATTTCTTGTAGACTAACATTGCCCATAGACTATCAGTGCCCCATAGACTAACATTGCCCATAGACTAACATTTCACTTAGACTATCAGTGTACATAGACTATCGGTGTCCCATAGACTAACATTAAACACGTTGACTAACATTGCCCATAGACTAACATTGCTCATAGACTACCAGTGCCCATAGACTAACATTATACACGTAGACTAACATTGCCCATAGACTAACATTTCACTTAGACTATCATTGCCCATAGACTACCATTGCCCGTAGACTAACATTATACACGTAGACAATCATTGCAACCTGCAGCTCCTGAACCGCATGCGGCTTCTCTGCAGACTGCTTCGTGACGTAACGTGCGCATTCACGTTCTACCAAATTCGAAAAAAGAGAAGAAAAAAACCACGGAGCTTCTTGTTATGTTGAATGCCGACGCCCCTGAGGTAGAGCGAACAACTGGAATATATAAAATTATAATCCACTTTACCCTAGTCCAGCAATAGCACAAGAGGTTTTAAGACATTCAGAGAGAAAATAAACAGGCAACTATTAGTGCAAGGCATCATCAAGTCTGCATTTAACCACGCGTGCTTGTTGGTAGTGTATAGCCATATCGCCTATATATTACCTTAGTTGCACCGTGTATTTGGGTTTATAAGAAGAGAGTCTCATGGTGACAGTGTTATTAATAATTAAAACAGATGTAAAGGTTACAATACTCAACAATTAAGTTATTGTGCCTCTTTTGCTTTCATGCCGGGTCCCCATCGGTCCAGGACTTCCTCAAAGGGGGTTGGATAGATCACCGAAACTGTATGCTGCTCTGTTGATATGATGATAGCCAGATGCGTTAATCCGGGCTTTCTCCATGGTAGACTGCATATATTTTTGTTATGAATAAAAAAATTCTTAACATGATTTCTACTTATTCATATTTTTGGTTATTTCGGTAAAGTCACGTAAAAGGGAAACAATAAAATAATATTAATATAAAACAATACAAATTCTCACGACGTTTCGACTGCAACACAAGCAATAATCATCAGGTGTGAAATACACTGCAAGAAAATGTGAAGAAAATTAACCCGTAAAAACAAAGTTTTTCACTATAAATCCTTTATATGCGTGGCATCGGGGCGGCTAGAGTCCTCTCGTCCTCTGGCTTGAGATGGCTGCCACCTATGGGTCAGATGATTGTCTGCCACCATTAAGCAATTGGTAATTAAATATTTATTTATTTTTCCCTAAACAGGGTAAAATTTTGGAGAAAAAAAATTGACGAAAATTAATTGTCACGCACAACGAGTCTGTGTGCAAAATGTCAGCTCCATTGGATCACGGGAAGTGGGTTAAAAAAAGACCGAAAGATTTGCACAGTCGTAAGCAAGCAAGCAAGCACGCAAGCAAGCAAGTGAACTTAATATAAAGGATTTAAAAAGTGGCGGTTTTTCCTAACGTCAGCACCAAGGACAGCGATTTGGCAGTTTGCCAGATGGACGAGTCCATCTATCTTCTTGGTTCTTTCGGTAAAGTCACGTAGAAGGGAAGTAATAAAATAATAAAAAATAAAATAATAAAATAATTCTCAAGACGTTTCGGCCACAACGCAAGCAGCCGTCCTCAGGTGAAGAAACGGGTCTTAGAGTCGCGGCATCTCTTCAGAAAGGTGAGAGACTCGATTAGCTGAGCCTTCTTATCACGGAGCTTGTTGAAGGATCTTAAAGTTTTATGGAATCCCACCCCGTAGTGGCGGTTAAATTTCGATTTAAAGCTTTCGTGACTGCGGAAAAGAGGAGGGGGGAGCAGAAAATGGAATGCGGTCTGAAAGTCACCGTAAGCATGAACACAATCAATTAAGACCCGAAAAGGTTTATTAAATCCTTCCAATGATTGCTAAGCCATAATCAATCTTCTCGGTTGAAATTGTCTCTGTGTTTGTATATGTGAATAGCCTCATGAACGAACCTCTCATGGTAGCCAGATGGCTTGCAAAGAACCTCTGTCTTGGAGAAATCAATGTGTTTAATCTGTTGATTTAGGGGTCCCCCTTGTGGCCGACTGAGCACTTTCCCCGCTATGCGTCGCCTAACGCTGCCACACACACATACATATCCCCAACCCACCCGCCCACGCCTCCATAGTTGCGTCCCTGCCTTCATGAATGTAGAACTAATAAATGAGCCGCAGTGCGGATGTGACCGTGCAACCAAAACTCTGGGCCATAGAGGAAAAACCGCTGTAGTCTGTGGAGTAAGGGGCCGTCCATAAATGACGTCACGCGATTTTGGACGATTTTTGACCCCCCCCCCTCGTCACAAGGCGTCACAAAAAATCAGAAACCCCCTCAAATATGACGTCACAAAGCTCTGCCCCCCCCCCAAAACCATATTTCCATTTTGAAAATAAAAAATGCTTCAAATCTCTTTAAAATATTGTCATTGTAGTGCGTATTTAATGTGGCGCTGCACGCTGATGTTGTAGGAGAAAACATTTTTTTAAAGTCTATTTAATTAAGTAGAACGTGTTGTCTATATTTATTTAAAGTTGCGCATTTTGATGTGACGTCACATTTCTCACCCCCCCCCCTCCTCGTCACACACATCGTCACAAATGTCTGACCCCCCCCAACCCCCCCTAGGTGCGTGACGTCACTTGCTGTGGTTTTCCCACCTGATGATGATGACGATTGCTTGTGTTGCAATCTAAAAGTCGCGATTTAATTTATTTTCTTTTATACCTACGTGACTTTACCTGTATAGCAGCAGCCACATGTCCATCTGAATAATCTCAATGTCCACCCGCTCTCCGGCTCTGCATCGCACGGCGAGCCAGCCACGAATTCAGAGGTGGGGCCTCCATACTTCCCCTCCCCCGAGATCACCGACTCACTCACCCACTCACTCACACACTCACCTAGGCCTTGGCAAGGTAAGGTAATTTACCCTTTTTACCGGGTAAAAGGGTAAAGGTGTCGACATGCCAAGGGGTAAGGGTAAACGGTAGGGTAAAGGTAGGCTCGTTGCTTTTTACCTTTTACCTTACCTTGCTGAGGCCGACACTCACCCAATCCTCACCAATCCATCCACTGGCATACTCATGTAGACGTGTAGTGGGTGACATCACGTCACGCGCGCCCTCGGAGAGAGTGACGTCAGGCGGGCCGTGGAGGACGGTGACGTCATGCCCCCAGGGGGGTATTTAAAGGGGGTAGGAGTGGGGACTCGGGTAGTTGGTCCTCACACGAGGCGAGGGGAGGCTACTCTGCACGACCGGCCGAGGTTGGGGGTGGTCCCGGACCGGGGCAGGGTGGAGAGCCGAGCTAGCCGGGGTGTAGGGGTCCCAGTACCCTGTCCCCTGGGGAGTTATTGGCTAAGGGGGGTGTTGGTTCGGCCTTACCAACCTGGCGTAAGCCCTGAAATAAACGTGGCGTGAGCTCCTAACAGCAACCTGCCTCGGAGTCGTGAATTGCACCGCAACTCTTACTTCACCGACTCACTCACCCATGCGCTTACTGTGCAGGTGACAACAACGAGCAACCATCACGTGTGTCCACTAAGTGGCGGTGACGTCACGGCGCTTGTGCCAGGCTATGTACACTATAAGGCCAGGTCAAGTGTCGAAGGCTTGCTGCTGGCCAGGGGTCACCGGACATATTCAGGTGGTAAGGATTGTACTGCTGTGCCAGGCTAGGTGCAGGAGGTGGCTCACGGGGCAGACCCAGGTGTTATGAGTTGACTGCTGTGCCAGGCTAGGTGCAGGAGGTGGCTCACGGGGCAGACCCAGGTGTTATGCGTTGACTGATGTGCCAGGCTAGGTGCAGGAGGCCGTGACGGGACAGACCCAGCAGTTGACATGGGTTGACTGCTGTGCCAGGCTCGGTGTAGGAGATGGTCACGGGACAGACCCTGGTGCCATAGATTGACTGATTCTCTGACGCAATCACTCACCCACTCACTCGGTGATGGTTATAGGGGTGGTACTGCAAGTTAGCCGTCGAACAAAGCCGGTGGTCACCGCGTCATCAGATGAGCTTCTGCGGCCGTCTGGAACGCTCTTCCCTTCCGATGTTAGGAAGCCACTGGAGCTATGCACTTTTTAATCATTCAGATTGCAAAAAACTAGTTTCTTTAGAACTGCATCTTGTGTTTAGTTTGTTGTCCTTCCTCCCGCACTTCCGATTCGCACGGTTGGCTGCGTACGGTGCGACAAAAGTTTAACGTATTTACACAGAGAGCCAGAGACTCACACAGATACGCATAGACTCACACAGAGACCCATAGACTCACACAGAGATCAATAGACTCACACAAAGATCTATAGACTTACACAGATACCAATAGACTGACACAGAGACCAATAGACTCACACAGAGACCCATAGACTCACAGAGACCCATACACACAGAGACCCATAGACTAACCCAAAGACCCATAGACTCACGCAGAGACCAATAGACTCACACAGAGACCCATACACTCACACAGAGACCCATAGACTCACACAGAGACCCATATATATTTACACAGAGACCTATATACTCACACAGAGACATATAGACTCACCCAAAGACCCATAGACTCACGCAGAGACCAATAGACTCACACAGAGACCCATACACTCACACAGAGACCAATAGACTCACACAGAGACCCATACACTCACACAGAGACCCATACACTCACACAGAGACCCATATATATTTACACAGAGACCTATATACTCACACAGAGGCCAATAGACTCACACAGAGACCCATACACTCACACAGAGACCCATACACTCACACAGAGACCCATACACTCACACAGAGACCCATACACTCACACAGAGACCCATACACTCACACAGAGACATATAGACTCACCCAAAGACCCATAGACTCACGCAGAGACCAATAGACTCACACAGAGACCCATACACTCACACAGAGACCAATAGACTCACACAGAGACCCATACACTCACACAGAGACCCATACACTCACACAGAGACCCATATATATTTACACAGAGACCTATATACTCACACAGAGGCCAATAGACTCACACAGAGACCCATACACTCACACAGAGACCCATACACTCACACAGAGACCCATACACTCACACAGAGACCCATATATATTTACACAGAGACATATAGACTCACACAGAGGCCAATAGACTCACACAGAGGCCAATAGACTCACCCAAAGACCCATAGGCTGTTGATGGAGTTAAAGAGTGATTTGTTATAGCGAAGCTGCTGAGGAAGTTTCCATCTCCTCAGCAACACAGGAGAGTGTGTGTCGGGTAAGACGAGAGGCAGGAGAGTGCGTGGAGTGGAGTGGAGTGAGATGAGAGGCATGAGAGTGCGTGGAGGGGAGTGGAGTGAGATGAGAGGGGAGAGGCAGGAGAGTGCGTGGAGGAAAGTGGAGTGAGATGAGAGAGGCAGGAGAGTGCGTGGAGTGGAGTGGAGTGAGATGAGTTATCAGGAGAGTGCGTGGAAGTGAGTGGAGTGAGATGAGAGAGGTGGGAGAGTGCGTGGAGGGGAGTGGAGTGAGATTAGTTGGAGAGTGCGTGGAGGGGAGTGGAGTGAGATGAGAGGTAGGAGAGTACGTGGAGGGGAGTGGAGTGAGAAGAGAGAGACAGGAGAGTTCGTGGAGCGGAGTGGAGTGAGATGAGAGGTGGGAGAGTACGTGGAGGGGAGTGGAGTGAGAAGAGAGAGACAGGAGAGTTCGTGGAGCGGAGTGGAGTGAGATGAGAGATGAGAGGTAGGAGAGTGCGTGGAGGAGAGTAGAATGAGATGGGAGGAGACACTCAAACTAAACTACAAGGTAAACTATATATTTTTTAACCAGGTAAGACCAACTGAGCTTTTTCGCTATTTTTCAGAAGCGACCTGGCCACAAATGATAGCTCAATGAAGTGGCTAATCACGTGGACATTCATTTTAGCAGCCAAATATTCTAAGCGTGGAGCAGTGGAGGCGATTTCAATATGAAATACACAAAGTCACCAGCAAACAAATGAAAATAAACGCTACAAATCGACGAGCTGTGGCGCTAAAAGCACCGCGCACAATACTAAAGAAAAGTCACGTGGTTTGGGTGTCATCGCGCACGCCACGGTGACGAGCGAGCGCTTCAGAAGGTGAACATGAGGGTGCCGTCCACGCTGGTACAGAGAGGGGCTTTTCCGGCTCCCCAGCGTTCGAAGAAGACGTGCACATCATCAACATGTGTGTGGTACGC